CACTATCTTAAATAACAACCCTTCACAATCTTTACCTATGTCTGCACCTGACCAAGCTACCCCATTGTTGACTTAATACTCCAATATTTGCAAACAATGTGCCGGCTTTAAACACCTCTCCATTAAGGGGCTGGCAGGTCCCAGAGTGCACCTTTAATTAGGCATGGGTTCCGTTATTTTGCACATAATTGGAGAAACACGCCAGGAATGTTTTATGGGTTGTACATGTACATTGCAATTAACACACACTGAGTCATGAACTCTGGAGCCAATATATATATGGATATTGAATTTTTTTTTCTGTTTTTTTTTTCAAAAATGTATTGTGTTTTCCAAAGAGGCTGCAGTGCATTTACAGCATAAGTGCAAAAAATGGGAAGTGCAAGTACATAATGGAGCAGTATATTTTTCTATTGATTAACATACTTTTATCAGTTCCTGAATACAGCTAAAAGGCATTTCAGGAGATATATAGTCTTCATTGTTATCGACTGTATTTCTGTTAAAAGCAGACCTCAAGTCTGTGCTTCTGGTGAAACTTGTTCATATTTTTGACGCTTAGTACAGAAATAGTGACATGGCGGTTTAGCCCTTGCCATTAAAAAAGCAAACAAATCCACCAAAAGATAGAATTTGTTCATACTGACATTTAAATGTTTCGTGATGTGCTCATGATTGATAGTAAATATTAATTCTGCAGGAAACTTGTGTATTCACTGCCTGGTCTTGAATTATACTTGTTTTTAAATAAAATCTGACTGCTGGCTGCATGTGTGTACTTCCATTATGGAAAGAGTTCAGGGTTTTATCCATACTGTTCTTTATATATTGTCAGTGAGAAGTGTTTTCAATTGCCAGTTTTCCTGAACTTTAACTCAATAACTGTTTCTGTTTCTTAGAAACACCCCAGAAATATTTGACCTTGTAATACTAGGTATCTAATACATAACCTGTATACCATATTCATTTTAGTCATTTATTTGCTTGTTTTAAAATTCTTCCAGCAAGAAATGAGTTTTGAATGCTTGTGTAGAAACATTCCTTTTCACGTTAAAGTGAAATGGAGCTTGTAAAACATTTTCAACTTGTTCATTCCAGACGTTAACTGTGTTAAACCCACTGAAGCATGCTGATGAGATGGTGGTGCAGGACGCGGACCTGACTGGCCCCCTAGTGTTCTGTATGGGGTTTGGAGGAACACTTCTCTTGGTGAGTGCACAGTGTGTTAGTTGTGACAGCACAGCAGATGCCGAGTTGATTGTGTTAGTTGTGAAAGATGTGCCATGTTGTGATGCAGAATTTTGTTGAAGCAGCATCATTGGCACTAAAGCTTTGTGTCCAGGAATCTTTCTCATAGCCTTTTTTTTTTACAGAGTAAATTGTTTGTTTTTTAATTTTTTTTAAATGTCAAAGAATATCTAAAGTCAATTGCAAAATATGTTGATATAATAAACAGTTTTTGTGTGATCTTTGCTTTTATTATTTTTTATTTTTTTATTTATTTTATTATTATTATTATTATTATTATTATTATTATTATTATTATTATTATTATTATTATTATTTTAATTATTAAATGGTCGACATTTGTTAACTAAATAATTGCTGTTCCAAGTACAAAGGTAAAAGGTTCAAATGCAGATTGTAAGTGTATCAGCCGAGAACCTGCTTTCAATTTTTCCATTACTGTTACAAAACCTTTGTTGTCTGCTCTATATTTCCAGGCAGGCAAAGTTCACTTTGGCTACATCTACGGTATAGGAGTGCTGGGCTGTATTTCCATGTACTGTCTGATGAACATGATGAGTAAAGTCAGTGTTTCCGTGGGCTGCGTGATCAGTATTCTGGGCTACTGTCTGCTGCCTATGGTGATACTGTCCCTGGTGGCTGTGCTATTTTCATTAAAGTAAGTGTGCTGGCTATTAGGTAATGTTTTTTTTATCACAGGCAGTTATCTTCACTTGGAAAAATACACCAGAATGCACTGCATGATGTATACTTCCTTGTTAGTTTTTTCTCTTTGGTGACATTTGCAGGCCTTTTATGTATGAACAATGGGAATGTAATTGTATCTGATTTTATACACACGGGAGCCTTGCTCTCTTACAATTTAGTGAGATTGGATTGATATTCCTATCTAGAACTCCATATGTCCTAGTTCCAATCAAGAAAATTTTGGTAGGGGTTATTATGTGCACAGTTTTAGTGTCATATAAAATTATTAATAATTCTTATACAAGACATTGATCACTGACATTGTGCTAGCCATTTTTTAAGAGAGCAGTGCTTTATCCAGTCACTTGTCGTTTAAGCAAAACTATTTGGAAATAAGCTACATGTTGTACTTATTAAATTTTTATAGCATTTCACTGTGGTCTAGTGTCACCTTACTGTGGTGTAGCCTCATTTTATATTGCATATATCTATTTTGCATCCATTTTGTACCAGTGCTGGTGCACAAGTTGCAATGTATTATATTAAATTGACATTAATTTTGATATTTTCAGGGGTACAGTGGGGATGATATTGACAGTGATAGCAGTGATGTGGTGTAGTTTCTCAGCCAGTAAACTCTTTGTAACAGCACTGAATATGGACCATCAGCAGCCTCTGGTGGCTTATCCCTGCGCCCTGGTCTATGGGGTGTTTGCTCTCCTGGCTGTGTTTTAGGAGCACAGGATCAACGGAATAATAAGAAATTTTGGTCATGGACATGGACTCTTATGTGGTCTATGGGGTGTTTGCTCTCCTGGCTGTGTTTTTAGAGCACATGATGAACGAAAAAGAAAACAAATTCTGGTCATGGACGGGGACTTTTGTATGGCGTATGGAGTGTTTGCATTCTGGGCTGTGTTTTAAGTGATACATGATGAAGGAAAAACCACAAAAACATGAAAATTGGACTCACTAGGACACAGACCAGATACAAGTTTAACCAAGATTGTTTGATTGATATAGATCAGAAGCATTTCACTGACATAGACCCTGCTGGTTGTTAAAGGACAAGTGAGATTGATGAGACTGTTTTTGGAGTGAGAAAAGCATCATGGATTAATGCTATTTACTGGTTAAAACAGCCAAGAGCACGCATCATTTAGAGCAGTCTCTTTTGGGCCTAGTGTAAAAATGGTGCATTTATTTGCTAACACAGTGCATGTTTGCTGTTTATTTTGGAGTAAGCCCTGATGATTCTCTCCGATTTAGGCGTGAAGACATCTGTTGCAGTTTGTACACATATTTCATTTTGAAGGTGCTATGAACATCCATTTTCAAATTTTCACTTTCAAATAAGTGAGACATGACATATTTCATGTGGACAAATGTTCTTGTATGAATTATATTGGAAAAAGAAAAAAATTTTAGCTGAACTGAATACTTATCCCCTTTTTTCTTGATTGTGAAAGAATTTTGCCTCGTTAAACTTGTAGTTTTGGTAGGCTGATATGAATACAACAACAATACATATACATGGTACCAACATTGAGGCACTCAGCATACATTGATCTGATATTAACCATGTTTTTATGTTACAAATAGGTTACAAACAATACAAGACCTATTTTAAGCACATCGAAGACAAAATGGACATGGTCATAGCTAGGTTCTGGCAAGTAAGGCACATGCCATATCTTTTATATCCCAAGATATATATATATATATATATAGCCAATGCTAGGTAAAATATCCCCCCCCCCCCCCCCCCCGATCTGGCTGGTAGTTATAACAATATGTAGCTGCATGATATTTGGCAATTATTTGTGGATGAGTTGGTAGATTCTAAATGAAGTTTAAGCCAAGCCTCTGAAGTACATTTATTTATTTATATGGTGTTAATTTTAATATTAAATCAAATGCTTCTCTCTGTGCAATTCATTTTTTAAGTTGTTTTCTTCTTGTTTTAATGATAACTGAAAATGCCCAGTAAAAGCAAGGAGATAACTCCTTGGTAAAAGTTAAGACAAATCAGACTCAACTACCTTCATTGTGTTGAAACTGGCTCTGTTGAACAAATGTGGTGAGGGAGTATGTTTTATTATTTATATTATATTATATATATAAGAGAGCTGGTGGTATATAGGCTATGTTATGATACAAGACTGACTTTCTGTCATCGCTTAACAGTTGCCATGTGTATTAAGCAAATGAAGAATGAGATTTCTTGACATCAATAATTGAATTGTAACCGTGTAGGATTTATTATCATAAGTATTTCTAGTAGGGATCATCTTAGAAAAGTGAATTTTTCATAGAAAGCATTGTATTAAGAGACAAAATTCCCATATTTTTATGTTACTTCATTCATAGAAATAGTGTAGTTATTGTTAGAACTGGTGTTAGTTTGACCAGCATGGAACATATACTAAGATGACATTATCAAACCAGGTAGTGAATGACTATTTGGCATTTTAGTAAAATGTACATTATTAAAGACAAATAAATTATTTTATAAGAAAATCAGATTTCTGAACCATCATAGCTGTATATTCCTTCACGTCTTTATACATCTCAAATATGGCTTATTAACAGCAAGCCGGAAGAAGGCTTGACAATATTTCTACTATCATTAATTAGTCATCTAAGACTTGCGTTCCCCCATAAAAGCATATTGTTCACATTTAAACATTAATAATTGCTCACATCCATCCAATTATTCTGAAATTTATTTTCATTTTACTTTACTGAAAAGTTTTAAGTATGACGGTTTCATTTGACATTTTATAGTTATTCACGGGGTTTTCTAAGTGAAATCCGCCAGTATATTAACAAAAGAACATTGGCGATGAGTTCGATTGCTTGAGACTGAACAACGCGAGAAGAATTGACAAATTCCATTAGCGTTTACATATCTCAAACTTGCTAACTAATCTTGCTGTGTATCGATACTTACCTATATCATTTAATAATGAAAAACCCGGACTAAACGATCCTCAGTATGCCATTAAAGAATCAGGACACCCTTATACAGAGAAAGCGCTACAGGTTGTCTTTCGTATTCGTTAGGCCAAGAGAAGCAATTTTCTTGGTGGACCTTGTATTGTCTATTTATATTCTTTTCACATTCTTACTTCAATGAAAAAGTTTAAATTGCACGGAAAGCGAATAAGAGAGCAGAGTTACTGACGTCAGAAGTAATTGGTTTGAGTCCATTATGGTTAAACTTCAAATTATTTTGAATAAGAGATGACGTTGAACACATCGGCAATAATATAGATATTTACGAGCCTTAGAGCCACGTGGCAGACTGGGAAGAAGGTTTTGGCCGATACTTGAAGAGATGGCTCCTAAAGGAAAAAGGCCGATTGATCTGATTAGATCGAAGATACATCGGACAATTCACCTGTTGAAGACTCGCGTATGTCGGTGCCAAAAAAAGTTGTTGAAGGGAGGAAATGTGACATTTCGCAGACGACATATGAATGTAGCCGTTGGAGTCTGCATCAGTCTTGTGATCTTCTATAAATTTATATTGTCAGGTAGTGAGACCACCGTGTCAACGGATGAGAAGGACGCTCAGATGGTGCCAAGAATGGTAAACACACTTACCTAAAGGTTTTTGAAAGATAATCTTATTTGATTAAATTTTTTCACTATTTTAATTAGTGATAAGCAAGAAAAAAGAGAAAAGCGAAAGAGAAAGCAAGACCTTGTATCGATCGAAATATAGTGTATTGGAATGTATCCTATCTGGAAATTTTCCCGCCAAATCGAATTTTCCTTGAAAACAAAAGGTTTTTTGTCTCTCACGAACCATTGCTCGATGCCTCCGTGCACTCGCATTTGATGTTTTATACCATGTCTAATTAATCTAGTTTTGGATATTTTCCGTAACATTAAGACTCGTGTCTTTCTGTATATTTCAGAAGTAAAATCTTTCCCCTAGGTACTTATATCGTTTTATCGTTTAGTTTTAAGGTCTAAGCTGGGAAAGATAGGTAGTTTTTGCAGGATATATTTAGACAAAGAAAATATGACTTTGGGACATCTTCTAACGCGGATAGTATACTTTGGTATTTTAGTGTGCATTTGTGTAGTGAAAAAGGGAAGGAGAGAAAGACCCGGCCTGCATCGACCAAAGTTTTAAATAAATATAATTTATTTAATATTTGAAAACCATTTGCATTCTTCAGAATGCCGTGAGCCAGGAGGAGTCGACTGAGACCGTTTGGGAAGCGGAACTGGAACGGCGTAAGAATCTTATAATGGACGTCTGCAAAAAACATGGCATGTCGCTAGATTGGAGGCCAAATCCTAGCCGGCAGAAATACATTGTAGTAGAAGAAAAGAGCAAAGTTATGGCATGCTTAGTGCCAATTCCTAAGTCAGGGTTGTCAGGCTGGAAAAGATGGCTTCTGGCCATTGGCGGCTACATGAATGGCACCATGCTTCAAGACATCGCGATCTCCAAAAAGTTACAGGCGGAATTATCTGTCAAGCACCTTAAGTCAATGCCCGCTTCAACACCCGAGCAACTGACTGCGTATTACAAAGTGTTTTTCATTGGGGATCCTTTAGAAAGACTCCTTTCTGTGTATAAGAATAAGATTGAAACAAACCATTTTAACAATCTGGAGGTCGTTTCAGTTGTAGGAAATTACGTTCTAGAAAACTACCGCGGAGAAACCGCCAAACTTCCTGTGACCATAAAAAGGGAAATAGGAAAGGCCGTCTGCACTCTTCCTAACGGCCAGACGGTCGAATATTATCAGAGAGATAATAAGGATTTGATCAGTCTTTCCTTCGATGACTTTCTCAACTACGTTGTTGACAATCCTGATAAAATGGACCTGTCATGGCAACCTCTACACGAGATCTGTCAGCCATGTGGGATTAAGTACGACATGGTCGGCTATTTCAGTTCGTTCCTAACTGATAATGATAACATCATAAAACATCTAAAAGTAGACCCGACTATCAAATTCCCGGACTATTTGTATGATTCGTCTGAAAAAATTATGGATGAATATTATTCGAAAGTTAGTAAGCAGGTATTATCGAGGATTAAGCAGATGTATGAGATAGACGCCCAAATGGCGGGAACGGTTCCGCTGGAAAGCGAAGTTCAGGGAAACGCGGCAAACAATTCTGCGGCGACGAACGACACTGATGCTAGTCAGTACGTCAATCCAATTCCTCCCCCTGAGGAGGAATTCATTTGACACCTTATCGTCTGGCACCTTTAACGAAGAGACATTTCATAATTAATGTATCTGAAAGAGGTATTTTTATATTATAGCATGCTGTTGGAAACTGAGTGTCCCCCAATGCGTGCCGTTGGTTTGCAAACCATTCACAAAAATAGCTTTCTTGAAATTCATTGTATATCTATCAAAAGAAAGAAGATAACTTTAAAGAATAACATCATTAATTGGTTTCGAGTGAAACGCATAGAATTTATATCGATATCTAAGATGTATTTTTGTCGTGACAGTATCCTATTTGTTAAAACACATGGCCTGACATTTACTCTGTCACATTAAATTGCACGTGACGTTACGGCCGCAACAGCTATGGCCGAGAAAATTGTTTAAAAAAAAAAGACACCTGTGGGTTGAATACATATTCTGGACTATTAAAGAATTGTCAAGATACAAGTTGATTGTACGATAGATTGAATAATGTAAGACGAGCGTAACTCAAAAACAGATTTTCTTGACAAGTGGTCTAGTCAGATGACTGGTTTACAATTTATGTAAAAGTGTATTTATTGAAATTGATAGGCAAGTCGAACAATTCGGAAATTAATTCCAAGTATACTATCAAGTGTGATGCGGGTAGGACAAGATGTGAACGATCAGTAAACCCGTAGACAGTGTTGGGTCCAATTTCACTCAAAAATAAATAAATAAATAAATAAATAAATAAATGACAACTCTCGACGAAGGTTGCTCTTATTTTAGGTCAATTTCAATCCACTGCAAGTAAGAAACTAGACATTTACGTCTAGAAACAGACCAATTACCCTAGTTTTGGTGGAATAATATATCTTGGTAAACGTAAGTTTTGTCTCGTTTAAACCAGCTTTCGACTGTCGTTGATTGTAAAATAAGACCAAGGCATGTACCACTTAAAATGTATTCGTGGAGTTGTCTGTCGTATAAGACTATTATTTTTATTCAGTGTCCGTCAATTCACTGGCGATGCTCTAAGATTAGTGTTATTAGTGTTGATGTCTGGTGGTGAAACCGTGTCGGGAATAGCAATAAAAGAATATACAATATTGACTCAAATCATGCGTAATATTTCGCTCGGCCTTTCTCTGTACTGAGTTTCAGGTTTTACTAGAAGCCAACCTCTACATAATCAGCATCCTCCATCGTTAATTAATTAATTAATTTATTTATTTATTTATTAATTAACACTATCTGTTACTTTGCTCTGAACTTGTCTTGCTGGAGATACGTACGTCATTCTGTATGTATGTATGAGAGGTAGGCTGCTACCACATATTTCCCAAAATTTAAACAAGTAAAATATGTTTAAATTATTGTTTTTATTTTTATCAAGAGCTTATAAAATATGTGGGTATAATCTCCAATATTTCTGTGACTGTCAGTCACCATCATCAGGGAGTAAATTACAGTGGGTATTACCTCCAATATTTCTGTCCCAGTCACAGAAATATTGGAGGTAAAACCCACATATTTTATAAGCTCTTGATAAAAAGAAAAACAATAAATTAAATTGATACATACAGAGCTAATGAAACTGTTCTCTCAAGTAAAATATGGATAAAGCAAAGGTGTAGAAGAGTGCAAAACAGATAATATTCAAGATTATATTGCGAATTTATTGAATAATGTTTATTTAATTAAAAACCTTCACTCAATTCCCACAAATTTACGTCTTAAATTATGTGTGCCTGTTACTAGGTTAATTGCACCTCAACCAATTTACAAGCAATAAGTGTTAATCACTTATGCGTTGTTCGTTAGCCATTGGTAAATTACAATCTATACTAGAAAATGGTTAAATTAATGAGAAATGGGTACACCAAAGTGAATCCATAACCCCAGTTCAAAAATATGGCAAGGTGGTGGAACCAGCAAACGCAATGTCACGACATGGTACTTTTTGTGACAACTTTTGACAGTCTTTAATGAGAATGCAGTTACCGGCCGAGAAACAAGCTAACCGTTTACCTGAATTTTACGGCGGCATAAACGCGACGGGAGAAAGAGCGGCTGCCGGTGTTTGGTCTTCGAGTACTGCTGCTCTAAAAAGTCAACAGACTGTGAGGAAACTATAGCGTCTTCCGTTTAAATTTGCTAGTCACGTTTACTTTCACATGAACATTGCTAAAATCAATGTAATATATACCAATTTACAGATTGTGAAAAACGTTAAGAGACACTATAATTGCTGAATCAGTTTGCTATACCCTTGGTTTTATTTACACCTTAAATAACCTTTAAACATAATATACAACATGTACACCTATGATACAAAGAGCCATTCCTCGAAACAAATTGAATAGCAGTAAGATGAGGATAAAGCATTCCCACATAAAAATACCATGCTTTTGATAAACATCCGTTCACAACCGCACTGCTGACGTTTTTCAAACAACCGCCATTTATTTTATTACACTTCTATCAGTTGAGTTACCAAATAATAAAAATCCAGCAAAGATCATACACGGTATCAAAGGCATTTGAGAAAATGATTTTAATTTGAGCAGTTTACTGAAATAACTGGCACAGTCAATCATAAGTAGGATCTACAGTGATTTATTTATTAGAGAAATAAAAACAACAATTGTAACAAAAAGCCAAGTCTTTGGTAAATATACTATCTTCTGTGTCTTAATGTGTTCATAAGACCTTTCATAAAGATACTTATATTCTTATACCATTTACCTCAACAAAATGCTTACTATGCAAAATCATACCGAAATTTCCTAATTAAAATCGAGGATGGAAATTATAGAAAAAAAAGTTTGAGAGCCTTTAAAACTCTCAATCATCTCTGGACAGTGCATTTTAAATGTTGACACTGTAAATGCAATCCCACTGGAATATACACAAATCATTCAACTTGGGGAGCTAACAGCAAACACCAAAAATAAAAAAAGGAAAAAAAGGTTAACACTAGACATCAATTATAACTGCACTAAAATGGTTCATTGCACATGTTAATGTCTACAAGACTGAATGTCAACAGCAGCAGTGGCATAAAACTAATATCAAAACTTTTATGCTGGTATTCAAAGACATTTTCTTTTCATACTCTGAACACTGTGTTATTAACACTAGAAAAGCTCCACAGTTCCCACAGCAGGGCATGAGGCCAGGTAGGGGTGAGTGGGTACCAATCATATAACACATAGGCAGATCAAGCTGCCGATTCTCATCACTTGAGAGGTTCATTCTACATTATAACTGCAAATCTTCTTTGGAATAAATTCAACTAAATTTCCAAAATGTTAAAACTTCTTATTAATCAACATGGGTGTTTTTGGTAGTTCCCCTGGACCCAGCTTTGGTTTGGAAATTCAGATGTTATAAAAATGCAAAGAAAGCACCATAATGAATTTCTTCTTGAACCTGAAACTCCATCCATTCATTCCTCATCAGGACTGGTGAGAGACCACAAGCCAACTGAGGACAAAGTAGAACAGAAAAATGGGGTAGATAGCCAGCGCCTTTCTGTTGGGAAGCTGGTACTCTGTGAGGAATGCTGTTGATGCTGGAATAAATGTAAAAGAACGATGAAAAAGTTTTCTAATATGTTCCAGTGAAAAAATTGCCAATCTGCTGGTGAAAATATCATGGATCAACCAACTGTGGTATTACTTTATAAAAACAATGAATTTGTAGACGAATGCAGTCTCGATTAAAAAACTCAATTCGCACCACAACTTTAACTAAACAGAAAAAAATCAAATTAGAGATATGAATGTCAACAAAAAAAGGGTATAATTTTTTTTTTCAAAAAGACAAAAAGATAAGATTCAATAAGAAATAGAAAAACACATGTACAAAATGCTCAAAACATATTTTGCTCCTTAAAAGAACTTACCAAAAGTAGACCAGAGAAAAGCCACCAGCACAGTGACACACCTCACAGTGAACATGGCGGTGGTGTGTGGACCTAGCAGTATCAGCTTACACACTATCAGAGCCAGGGTCAGAGGAAGTGCACAGTACCCCAACACGCAGATACTTTGAAAGAATGAGCTGGAAATATAAAACAAGCAATAAATAATATGGCTATAAACATGCATATCTGGCATGTTATTTATTCTATAACTGATTTATTAAAAGGGTACGATTCTAACTACTAACGACATTTGTATTGTAACATATATTTGCTTTCTAAAGAAATTGCTCAAGTTAATTCCTATATTGGTTCAAATTTGAACATTACTCTCTGGCATAGCTTTTAAAAGAACAACAAATCTCAATTAACGCAAACTAAAACCTTCATATAATATGTAACTAGTATGTGCTATGCTTATCAAAACAAGCCATAAGGGCACTACTAAACCTGTATCTTCATACCTAAAATATTTTACATTTGAATCATATTAGATTTTTAAATCATGACCCTTAAAAAAAGATAATGTAGAGCTTGAGTGTGACCTGATACTTACATTGAACCCCCTAAAAGCTTGGTATTCAGTGTCACCACTACAGCACCAACCCAGTAAATCACAAAGACCTCAGCAAATTCTGGACCCCCATCATTCACCTTGTCCACTGTGTCTGAACTCTGAAGTAGCCTAGACCAAAGGAATACATATTCTATATGTTTCACTTTACGAAATATGCTGTGCTTAAATCATAAACAGAACTGTGACAAGTGGACAACTGCTCCAACAGTTCAAGGAAAGAAGAGAGGAAATAATACAATGAGGTATGCAAAAATTAATTTCCAAACTTATCGGTATTATACTTTTTCATTTTATACCAGGGACAAAACAGTGCATTTACCAGAAAGTAAACTTACATAGCTAATATCACACAAAGTATTAATGGACCCCAAAGATCCCCTGAAAATAAAAAGACAATAATAATTATAATAACAATTAAAATTTTTTGTCAATCTGGGGTACGTATAAATTATCTTGCACATTATCGCAATATCAATAAATTCATCCTTTTATTTTAGTCCTATTTTTTCTTTTAAAAATAGGGAAAAGGAGAAGTATTTAAATTTAAAAGAAATATGGCTATTGGCCACAAAATGATATACGTTACTGAAACATATGTAAAGGGGACAGAATTCTTACATTCTTGAAGTAAAGCTCTGCTCTGTTTTGGGTAAAGAACGTGGAAAAACTTGTTTCCCACTGCTTTCAGATCTCGCATCTGCAGGGAAAAAAAACAACAATTGATAAACAACAAGATACAAAATATCAAATGCCCAGTTGTAAACAATGTTGTAACAGAGCAAACATACTGGTTTCAATTATTTGCAAGTCATGAAAAAAAAATTACAAAATGATGTGAAGAGAATATTTTAAAGACTCTGGTAGGCACTTTTCATTACAGACTCATTAATCCATAATAATGAGATAACTCTAACCAAAAGAATCCAAACATTCATTACGCATTTCAACAACTAAAACTTCACCAATTAAATTTTAAAAAATTTTAACACATAGACATAATGCCCAATCCAATCTTCCTCCGTACCACAGTCTCTCTGACAGGTTCATCTAGTGTGGAAGGCTGCTCTTCATCCTCATCCTCGCCCTGACCAGGTGCCCCTGGGACTGTGATATCCCCCTCCAGGGACACATCATTCAGGTGAGTCTGGAAAGCAGAGAGATGCTTTAAATTTTACCTGTTTTTCCACAAATAAATACCTGATAATACTTATCCCATATTTCTCTACAAATAAATAAATAATAATATTTAACAATGTACATGAAATTTCGCTACAAATAAATTACTAATGATGAAGACTAAAATAAATAAATAAATAAATAAATACTTTTTGTTTGACACTGGGCTCTGGCCATAACAAGTAATTGTGACTGATTGGTGAAAAATAAGCCTTGTGACTATATTACAGTGCACTTAAGAGACACCAGTGATACAACATATATTCAGTCTTACTTCATATCTAGACTGCAACTGCAAAAATAATGCTTAATTTGAAGATACTAAATATTACCTTTAATTCCTTAATGTATACAATAGATATAGCACATTCTTCTTCCAGATTCAGTTATTCATACATACAGGCAATTGTCCAGTTTATGCTACATGTATAACTATTTTAATAGTGAATTAAAATTCACACTGCTGTACATTTTGTACAGCTTGCCAATAAAGTATCTTACCATTTCACCATATTTATAATAATGGAGTGAGTCACCATACCCTAAAATTAAGGCTTTTAAAGAAGCAATTAAACCACAGAAAAATCCCAAAAAAGAGGAGAAATCACCCAAAAAAAGGTTAAGTAAATAGACTAGTGAAAACAACTAAATTATTCTTGAAAAATATATACCAGTGTTTAAATCCATCCTAACCCATTCCAGAAGAGGATATAACAGGGATATAACTTAAAATGCAGTATGATACTTAAAACTATATGTTAACATCAAATAAAACCACTGATCCCATATCAAGCACATTCCATGTTTTCCGTGGTATTAAAAACCACAGTAAACTGTTCCACACTGAGGAAGCAACAATACTATGTACAGTAAGTTACACTGAAAAAGCTACAATGAAATATATTACAGTGTCATGAGTCTTCAAGTCCTCAGGTTTTGGGTGACCAGTGTCAGTCTCTGATGCATTCTCTTTCTTCTCATGAGCATTCTAAATATGTCCATGAAAATTGTTCACTTCATCAATTCTAATATAACTTATATAGCAGCCAATCATCTATGGTATGAGTCACAATTTATTTCGTTAATTAACTACAGACCTATGACTTTTATCTTTTTAAACCCATCTCACATGTTATTAAAAACTTAACCATGTATACTAATGCTCTGTACTTTACCCCTATCTCTATCTATTTATTATCTCATACCAGTATTGGTCTCTTTAGACGTATATGGACAGATACAGACTCACTGGATACAGATACCCCTCCCCTCCCCCCCCCCTCTCCCCCCCTCATCAACACACAAACGAATCTTCACTCCAAGCAAAAGCAACATGCAGTAGTGTAACTGTCCATAGTCCTAATTTGTACAACAACTCAACGGCACAGTCAATTTGAAGGTCGATTTTTTAACTGTGCACCTGACATCCTTGAAATTCTGACAATGACAACTGACATTGAGTGACATGCACCGTCATTCGTCAACATGAATTGTCTTCTGTCAGACCACTAACAATGTTCTTATCATTTGACAGGATATGTGAAAAAAATGAAAGCGTGTTTTTTCGCGTGGTTTTGCGTTCCTTTATTTTACTAGTGTACAAACAATCATTCTAGTTGATAATTTTCATTATTTACCTGCTGGAACTCCACGTCAGCCATGCTGGTTGAAGACGGAAGTCAGATGTATTGTGGGACTGCCGTTTCCAAAAATAAACACATGTGCACAGGGAACAACATGAGGGTGAAGAATCTTCTGGATTTTATTGCAAAATGTGGTTTGATGTATGCACTGTTGTGTCCTGCATATTGTAATGAAGAAGAATCGGAATTTACGGACAAAATGGACCCAAATATGGACTTTCGTGGTGGTGGAGAGAACATGGCGACAGCGATTTGTATCCTAATATTTGGAACACAGTTGAAAATCAGCTGAGTAGTTGGGGGGGTGGGGGGGGGGGGGGG